TGGATCAACTCAGCTCCAGCCATTGTGACACTTGGGGAGAAAACCAATGGATGGAGGATCTCTCTCTTCCTCCTCCTCTCTGTATCTGTCTTTCAAATAAAAGTCAATCTTTATAAATACTTTTAAGGTAGTCTTAGCCACTAAGCTAGTATATATGTCTCAAAACCATGTACTATTTTGAAACTAAAAGTTCCTTTCAATATTTCTCATGTAATTATGCCATTAAGACAAGACTAAACAAACTGTGACACATGCACATCAGACATCTCTTCGAAGATTAGCTGGACCTTCCTTTTTAATTCCATCTGAAATCTGACCCTATCTGTGTGAATCATTTTCATTTCACATACATGCTGACATTGTTGGGATAAACTTTCACCTTAGCAGTATTTCTATTTATGTGTTCTAATTTTTCCATCTATCTGTTTGATTTGGATTATCTTTTATGATTTCATTTTATCTCCACTCTAGGGATTTGTTCATGTCTCTTAATAATCTTTAGTTGTATAAATATACTTTTTGATTAGTCACATTACAACTCCATGCAATAGTCTAGCATGTAAAAACTTTGTAACAGCATACATTAAATTCTTACTTCTTATTCTATTATTTTGTCATACATTTTTATTTTTATATGTGCTCTGCATCTGGTTACTTTTCATGTGTGTTTTAACAGTGATTATAAAAAAAATCTTAACTCTAATGTATAATTTCTGCAGATCTTTAATATAGATCCAGGATTTTTAAAGATTTGTTTGATTGAAATTCAGACTTACAAAACACTGGGGAAAGTCTGTTGGTGAAATTTTGGGCCCACTTTGCTCAGAATGGGTATGGTTGGAAGGGAGCCCTGGTCAGAGGATGGGGCATACCATGGGGAAGTTTGAGCGATTCGACTCCAGATGCTGTGACAGTGATGTTCTGGCAACAGTTCTCTAAAACAGCAGCCTCGGGGCAATAATGAGCATGCTCTCTGGAGAGATACAGGCCTCTTGTCAGACAAACCAGATAGGTCCCTGTCAATCTCAGATATTTATTGGTATCACACATCATTTGGGGGCATTTGACTCCCAGGAACCCCGAAGGGAAGCGGCTTCCTCACTGGCCAAAGTATGATCACAAGGAAGGATATCTGCGATTGGAGCCTCCACCAGGAGGTGCAGAAGCTGAAAGATGAGGAAGTGGCTTTCCAGATTGAGCTCCATGTCTAGGAGGCAGTGATATTAACCAAAACAATGCCAATGAATGACCCAAGCATGATGTTGAGAGGAGGAAACCAAGTGAAAGAGCTCATGTTTTAGGGTATAGAAAGTATATCCTAATAGCTGGAATAGCTGACATGCACGGCTAGATGTCAGGGGAGTGGCTACCGCTGTCAAGTAGGTGGGCAAGTAGATGGGTAATGCAGCACAAGGACGATCTCTTTCTTTGTCACTCCTTCTGTCATTCCTTCAAGTAAACAAAAATAAGTCTTTAAAAAGGAGACATCTGTTTCTACAGGTGAATGTATGAACTTTGTCTCCCAGCTTCCCAAAGTGTGCTGCAGCAAGCCTTCCCACACCAACCACACTACCCACTGGTGGCACCCTCTTACCCACTGCACAATTATAGCCCTGACTCTAAAATGTTAATGGACGCTATTGCTCTTCCTATCTATCCTTCAAGTCCATACGTGAGCTCCAGCCCAACCATGGAGCACAGCAAGCTCTTTATCAAGTTGTACCCTTACATTTGGACACAAACAAGACAGAGTGTTCTCCCCAGCCCTTCCCTACCTAGGGAGTAAGATGAGGCACACTCTCCACAGCATCTCAGATATGGGAAGGGAGGGTGGTTCATCATAGAAGAATGACATGGGATAACACGATAGGGAAATTTTCCAGATGAAGGACTCAGGCATATCTCCCACTACGTCACCTCACTTCTAACCAAGTAAATGATCTATGTCTCAGGCTAGAGGCTTAGAGAAGAGAATTGGGCTTTGGAAATGAGCAAAAGTATCAAGAGCCCAAGGGCACACAAAGGAAGAAAAGGAGAAGGCAGCCCAGGAAAGAGGAATTTCCTTAATACCACATGAGGCAGCTTCTCTTTGAAAAACATTGGGAAAGAAAAATACTTCAGACCCAATTGCAGTCCTGTCTGGATTTAATCCTTACAGTCATCTTTGCATGCAGAAGATTACACATCTGCCCTTTGCAAATGTTACAGAACAGTTTGTGGTGTTCTAATTTAATCTCTTGGTGTTTTTTTCATCCACGTTGTGCAATTTCACATCACCAGGACCTAAGGCCTGAGTGGAAGTAAGCATTTTTCCTGTTATGATGCTGCCCTCTGCTGGACACTAAGGTGAAGACCGCTTAGATACGCCCCTAAAGTTGTTTTGATCTGATAACTGTAGTCTAAAATTGAAGCATGTGTTGTGTGCATGCATGATTTCTGTAAAGAAATATTTTACTTTTCAATTAAAAAGAGTAAATGTTTTTAAATAAACATGTTTCCCAAATATGATCTATATCTGTGTTGTTGCTGATAACCATGAAGTGTGGTTCTTTAATAAAATACAAGAGGAGTCATTTTTAAAGGCCCAGTCTTTGACTTAATCCATTCTTCCATAAACTTGGAAGCCATAAACATTAAAAACATAAAAAGACTTCCCAAAATTGTTCATCAAATTATGCCCATAAACACCTAGGATCAGACTAACAAACAAATTATGACACATTCACACCAAATGGATCTAAGAGCAGTCTTTTGGGGAGTGTTCCCAGCACCTTAGCACATAGACCACACAACTGAAACTCAGTGGCCCTTAATCAAGGTGAGTGTTTGAACACCTGGAGAGGGAAACTCCGGATTCCCAGTTCTCATCCAAGAAGATTCTGCTTCATCTGGGCTTGGGAGTGTCCCACTCCCCCCTTCCCAACAAGTGACTCTTCACAAACCCTTGATATCAAAGCCTCAATTAACTGTAAAAATAAAGACCCCAGGTGACATACATATGCCAGCTTTATCCCCATATGACATTTGATGACATACGGACAGGAAGGAGAAAAAGAGCCCCATTTCTGGAAATGCGCTCCCCTTAAAAAGACATCTACCAAAACCAGATCCACATCTAAGGATGCTGGACAGCAAACAGTATAAAAATGAATATGATGCCATTTAAAACAGTATTTTAAAATTAATAGTGCTTAGGGGTCATGATTTTTCCAAGTGTTATTGTACAAGTCAGCCTGCTGCAGTTATAGAAGCCTTCAAATTTCTGGTTCACACACGTGTGCCTTGGTTCTGCATATTAGAGCTATCAAGCAGTCCAGAGATCTTTGATTTGCCCTTTGCACAACTTCCTTGGCCAGAGCGAACTGCACAGCCTTGAACCATTTGCTGAAAAGGGGACATAACGCTATAGAGTCCCACTCCAGAAAGACGAGACAGGAGGTCTAGTTTTGACTGGTGGTTACCTTGCTTAGGGACCTTAGATGAGTCCCTTATCTCTGGGCTCACTGTAAAGTAGGTCAAGAGGCCAGGTGACATCTGAGTAAAATGGGCCACACACATGACCTGAACTGAGTTCTCAATTCCTGGCTCCTGTCCCAGCCCAGCTCTTTTTGAGAAGTGAATCAGAAGATGAGTGTGCCCTCTCCCTCTCTCCTGCTCAGATTGATTTTTTTTTAACTATTTTTAAAATACATCACTTGAATCATGCAAATTTTTCTTCCTGAGAAAAATGTGAGAAACTATGCATTGGCTTCAATTTTTCCACTGAAACTTAATTCCACTTTCCTATGAACTTATATACTTAATACTAGTCCTTCATAAAGAGCCTCTTAAGACTTTCATCCAAAATCGAATCCTTCTGTTGCACTTTCTTAAAACATCTTACTTTTCCTTAGTAGTTATGGAGTTTTGAGACTTAAGGCCCTGTGTGCTTAATACCTGTCTTCTATTTGCTACAGGCCATGGTTTGTTCACACCAGGTGCTCACGGGGTATGTGGCATCCAATGTTTATTTCTTGAATAGCATATTTATCTCAAGCCCATTAACAGAAGCCTTCATCCCTGGCGTGCCCAAGCAGCCTGGTTTTCTGGTATTTGATTTCTAGGTTCTTGACGCTGTATTATGTCTTATCTCCATGGCTGAAGACACTCCTCAGGATATCCCTTTCTATGGCTTGAATGTCCCCTCCAAAGCCCATGTTAAAACTTAATCTCATTAGATATTAAGAGGTAAGATCAGGTGGGCCCTTCAGGAAGTGGTTCATAAGAGCTTTATCATCACTTCAGGAAGTGGTTCATGAGGGCTTTGTCACAGATTGATTAATCCATTCATTCATTCATATACAAGCAGATTACTGGATCAATGGAACTCCAGCCATGGGCCTGGTCTCATGATGAAAGCAGGCTCTCTACCTTGCTTGTTGTCTCATCACATCATTCATATTGTGACTCACAGGAAGGCCATCAGATGCTGCACAGATGCTGGTGTCATGCTTTTGGATATTCAGAGCCATAGGCTAAAAAGAACCTCTTTATAAGTCACCTGCAGTGTGGAATTCACTTCTATCAAATGGGATATAGACATGGACAAAATAGACCTACTTTACAGATTGAGCTGAACCATAAAAGACCCAGCTCAAACAGACATCTTCTCTAAAATAACATTTTTTTATCTTGGGTATTGGGGGTTGGAGTGTATTTATCAGCACAGAATGAAATTACATCACTATATATATTTTATATTCAGATTGTATTGCATATGATAAAATTACATTAGGCCAGTCCTCCAGATTTACTGAAGAAATCCTATCCAAGACAAATTGCATGTTTAATGTTGAAAAGAATTTCAAAAAGGTCATCCCAAGTCCATAAAACATCAGTCAAAGTGTCTATCCCACAAAAAAACCACACACAAAGCAGTCAAATCCAGAATGGAGTTCATGGTTGTGGGAGAAATTATAATAGTAGAGAGGAAATAAAATCCTACAAAGATAACTGGATTCTCAAGAAGACAAGCAAAGGAAAGGCAAGAGCAGGGAAGGGAAGATTAAGGAAGAAAGAGGACTGGGGAGAGTTTCAGAAGCAGACATTATCAGGGGAAAAGTGTTGGTCCAAAACATCAGTCTCTGCTCCTTCAGTCTCTCTCCGACACTTATGTTCAAATCCAGCTGCAGATACATTTCAGTCTTGTTGTAGGCTGGCCACAGAGGCAGGTGGTCCCCATTTGGATTCCTGAGAGTGAGAGCAGCAGCACAAGTGAGATTGTCATCCTCCAGCAGCCAGTGGTAGGAGACAGCAGGTTCATTACCCAGTGGAGAGGACAAGGCAGTTTCACTCACCCAGTCCGAGCAAAGTTACTCCAGTATCTCATCATCTTCCTGCTCAGCAGCTTCTCTTCTCCAGTAGCTCCTTCTAAAGGAGACAATCAAACTCTAGCTGCTTAGTGACTCCTCATAGTCCATGGATCCCTTTCAAAACCTCCCCTCCTGTTGGATCCTTACAAGCCTAGCAACTCACTGTACCGATTCTGTCCATGTGGACACGGAGGCTCAGAGTAAATGTGACCTGCAACAGGATGCTGATTTACAAATGGTACAGCTTCCCAGTCAATCATGCACTTCCAGCCATTCCTATGAGGCTGCAGTTTCCTTGAGGACAGACCCTCAAACACACACACACACACACACACACACACACACACACACACATGCACACTTCACAAACAATAAATCATAACCATTCTTCAATATCCACAGGGTACTGGCTCCAGCACCATGAACAAAAATCGTTACATACCAAATCCTTTGTATTTAACCTATGTACATTCTCTTACATATACTTTCCAGATTACTTAGAAAATCTAATACAGTGGTAGGACTTGCAGTTCAGCAGGTTAAGTCACCACTCAGAATGCCTGCATCCCACATTGGTGGACATGGGATCCAATCCTGCCTCTGCCGCCTGATTTGCATGTTCTGGGAGGGGCAGATGGTGGCCCAAGTACTTAGGTTTCTGCCATTCACATGAGAAATCAGGATAGGGTTTCAGGCTCCTGGATTTGACATAATCCAGCTCTGGTTATTTACAGGCATTTTAGGAATGAATCAACAAATAGATCTGTCTTTCCCCTTCTCCCCTCCATCTCTTCTTCCTCGCCTCTTTGCCTCCACTCACCTCACTCAGTTGCTCTGCCTTTCCAATAAATAAAAATAACTTTTTAAAAATAAAGAATATCTCATACAATGTAAATTATGTGGTTATTATACAGTATTGCATAGGAAATAATGTCAAGATAAAAGTCTAAAACTGTTTGATATGGAAGGTATTTTCCCCAAGCAGAGAGAGAGCCAGCTGTCTTGTATCTCTTCATTTGAAAAAGCAATACCTGATCAAACGACAAAAGTCTAAAATGCAGTAAGGCTATCTAATGGCTAATGAAAATCAGTTTCCTTCCTTTCTCTTCCCACCAAATCCCTAATTACTCATGTCAGAGGCAACCAATTCTACCAAATTTTCAAGTATTTGCAGGGAGCAAACTACACATGTATTGGGGTATAAGGAAACTCTTTCTCTTCACATATTTGGGATTCTATTTGCCACATATTCTAGATTTTGTTTTTACCAAAATTGTAGATACGGTCTGTCGCCCATAAAGCTCCCATTTATTTGGATCAAGGACCTAAATCTCTACCCAGAAACCATCAAGCTATTGGAGGAAATCCTCCATAAAATTTAGGCACAAGCAAAATTTCTTAGAAAAGCCACCCACAGTCAAGACCAAAATAAACAAATGGGACTATGTCAATCTAAGAAGTTTGTGCACAGCAAAGGAAATGATCAACAAAGCAAAGAGGCAACTGACACAGTGGGAGAAAATCTTTATATCTACACAACAGATATGGCACTGATATCCAGAAACTTTAATATCCAGAAGCTTCAGAAACTCAAAAAAAATAAATTTAAAAAAAACTAAAAACTGTTGAAGAAATAGGTGAAGGAGATGAATAGACATTTTTCAAAAGAATAAATTCAAATGGCTAATAGGCATGAAAAATGCTCAGACTCCTTAGTTATTAGGGAAATGCAAATAAAACAATATTACATCTAACTCCAGTGAGATTGGCCTACCTTCAGAAATCTAACAAACCTGTTGAAAAGGCTGAGGGGAAAAAGGCACCCTTCTCCTTTGCTGGGAGGAGTGTAGGCTAGTGCAGCCACTTTAGAAGTCAGGAGAGAGTGCTCAGACAACTGTAAATCCAGCTACCATATGACCCAGCTATCTGACTCCTGGGAATACACCCAAAAGTCATGGAAACAATCCAGAGGCCCATGGAAAGAAGAATGGTTAAAGAAACTGCGATACATCTACTCCATCGAGTACTACACAGCTATGAACAAAATTCTACCATTTGCAACCAAATGGTTCCAAATGGAGATCATTATGTTCAGAATAAGCCAGTCCCCAAAAGACAAATGCCATGTCACTTCTGATACAAGGCAAGCTCCATGTAAAATTCAAGATTAACAGATATATAGGTAAATAAGTATTATACAATGAAAACTAATGTATCCAGGGTTGAAAATATGTTGCAATGTGTATCTCTACTTCTGAATAAGACTCCCAGTGAAAGTTAATACCATTGAAAATGCCTTGAAAATTTGATACCATATTTTTACCACTATCTGTACCTACAATACCACAATATACTTAAATAGCAGAATGTTAAACTTGTGATTGTTACTAAATATAGTGGAAAATAGTTGGAGGGAAAAGTGGAGAGAGAAGAAGGGGAGGAGGGAATCCTTATACTTACAAAATTGTACCATGGAAATAGAAATTTTAAAAGGCCTCTACTTATTTTTCTTAAATACCTAGACACACATTACATAGAAGTTACATAAAACTTGTAAGTCATGTATATAGTATTCTGTTGATACACGTTCGTTTCCAATCTTTTGCTTGAAAATACTGTAGTGTGCATGTATTTTGCATGTGTACTATTACACAAAAATTCCTAGATCACCAAGATGAAAACATGGATTTTAAATATTGGCAGAATCTTCTATTAATGTTTGCAATGGACTGCTTCCTACACCTGCTCAAATACATTGTTTAAAACAGTTGTTCAAGCTGGAATAGGGAGAAAGGATTCCTCACCTAAGCTTAGTCTTCAGTTCTTATGTTGGGAGATAATGTGGACTTTTGTATGTCTAGATGCTAGTTGGCATTCCTTTCCCATCAGCCATCAATTTATGTTATCTGGTTTTATTAGATAGTAAGACTTGCCAAGCCTAGCTGTCCAAGACTGCCAAAATCTTGGCCACACCTTCAAGTAGGTGGCACAAGAACTGCCCAGCCATTTCTTAACTGGTTCAGAGCCCACCAATGGGGAAGGTCTTCCCAAGATTCCTGCCCAGGAAAGGGTTATTCAATGCTTGATATCCCAAGGCCCTTCCAAGAACTTTTGCTATCTCTCCCTCTCCTTTCAAGAGGCACCCTCCTTCCCAGCCCACTCCTAGGAGTTACGTTCCCATTCCCTCTTCCCACGTTCACCCAGTCTCTTCGCAAATAAAACTGTCTGCAATCAATCCCAGTTTCTTATTTCTGTACTAAGTTGAGGAAAGAACCCACCAAGCTTTTCTGGTAATAGGTTGTTCTCATTGATTTTATAAGCTCTTTAGATATCAATGATACATTCAGTGTTCATTTTCTCCAGTTGGAAATCCCTGTGTCAGACACATAGGATAAGCACAGTAATAGTTCCTGAGTAATATCATTTATCAAGCACTCAACTGTGTGCACTTTGGGAATTGATGGCAACCTGTTAGTCTTGCTGTTATTGTAGGATGAATAAATGAAATAAGCACAACTTATGAGCACCTGCTCTCATTGTGTAGGGTCCATAAATGTGACATCTCATACAATGGATTTAGCTAATGTTTAGTAATAAAGTCATATGTAATTTGTTTTCTATTTATTATTATTTAATTTATTATTTATTATTTAATTTCTATTTTCTATGTAATTTGTTTCCAGCCACATCTGAATTGATTTTTCAAGGCCCTGAACAAGCCATCAATTCAGGCATAAGCAAGCCAATGTTGCTATTACCGGCTCACAAGTCATCTTGATCCAGATAATTTTGAGCTAGAATAATGAAAATTGTGGTCCCTACCTTTTATAGCCATGGGTAGTGGCCTCATTGGATTTCTGGGAAGGCCAAGGCCAGGGACCAATAGTCAACATGAAAACAGCTCTAATTGCTTTTCAAAAAATTAAGTTGCCCGAGTATCCCAAAATGCTTATCCCTACAGGTGTTAGTACTAAGATCAATATTCATTATATTCATTGAGAATCTTGGCAGCTCTTTTTAATCTTGATTTAATGTGAATGCAGGCATTTTCCTGGGGGGGATGTTATGCCTGTCTAAGCCAACAATGCCATTTTATCCCAACCTGTCAGTCCCCCTGGGCTCTTGCAGAGCAGTGGGAGGAGTAGGGAGTTGTACACCTAGAGTTCAGAGCCAAGCCTTCTCATATACAAAAGTAAGAGCCAGAGGAGCCAAGGTAAGTTTGGACCCAGAGGCATGGTGACTGCTGAGGGGAACCTGGGCCAGGTTGGTCTCAAGGCTTGGGGCCCTAACCCTGGCCACTGCTGCCAGGCAGTGGACAAATCCTGGGCCTTTCTAGGCTTGACGGATTTCTCCCTCCGGAGGAAGAAGCCTTGGTGAGTTTGGACACAGGCATGGGTGCTCAGCCCTCCTGGCCACATGGCAGCTGCTGAGGGAACTGGACCAGGCGGCCCATGCACCAATAGTGCCCAGGCACTGCCTGTGGGCCACCTGGCAATGTGCTCTAGGATCTTGGGGTGTGGGCCTACAGGGAGTTAGATGGCACAGGTGGGCATTAGCAAGGACCTTAGGGTCAGGTCCAGATGAGAAGTGACTTCTCTGGAACTTCCATGGACAAAGTCATTCTACTTGAAGGGCTACAACATGTATCTATCCCATCAGTGTCAGAAAAGGGAACAGGCTCTGTGAGGCTGGCCATGAAGTTGATAAATGCATGAGTTAATCGGGTCTGGGGGTAGAATCTGCACAGGAATATGTGGGTTCCCTCACATGGAATAGCAGCAATCTGTTGCCATGTGCAAGAGCTGTGGCTAGGAATAGGCCTGGTCAGGGAGCTAAGGGGATGCACTGGTTGGGCTGGAATTCCCATCAGCAAATGCCAGTGCCAGAATCAGTGGCTACCCTGCAGCCAGTTCCTTACCAAACATGACCACATCCCCCGTCAGGAAGGCACCTCCAAAGACGAAGCGGATTTCATCAGAGTGGTCAGCTTTGACAAACGCAGGCTTCGTGTCTTCAAAACATTGGGGTCGATGCTGAAACTCGTAGAAGTAGATAGGTGCACCACTATCTGACAAAAGGCCAGGGAAGATCAGGTGTTTACACAGGATGGAGGAGGGACACAGGCCTAGATCCCCAGCTCTAAAGTCCTGACTTTAGAGACCTATAGGCGGTACAGCTGAGTAGCAAAATGGGTTCCCAGATGAGTTACTTCTCATTTGAGGTCAGTATTTCCTGCTACAGCAGTCCTCAATGTCTAGTGATAAAGACCTCATTGTCCCTCAGAAGCTAAGAAGGCAACAGATCTGAAATAGTCCTTCGGGGAGAGCATTGTGGCACAGCATATGATGCTGCTGGTGGTGGTTGTTGTAATGCCTAAAGCCCATATAGGAGTCTTGGTTCGAGCCTCAGCTGATCCACTTGTACATGAAGGTGGCGCAAGTGAGTGGGCACCTGCCACCAGTACTGGATATCTGGATAGAACTCCAGGATCCTGACTTTGGTCTGGCCTAGGTCTGGCTGCTATGGCCATTTAGGGCTTAAATCAAAGGCCGCTCTCTTGCTCTGTCTATCCCTCTGCCTCAGTGTCACTACCTTCCACATAGTATTTTAAATAGAGGAATAATTCTTCATATTGAGCCAAAATATCTTGCTGTGATTCCCTCTCACCTACCCTGGTTTAATTGTCTGGAAATAAACGCAGCAAAGCTCATTTCTGCTCCCATGATAACCCATACATGTGCTTCATGTATTTTGTTCACTTTTCTTCTGAAAATCTTTACAATTTTTTTTTAACATTGAGTTATATAAGTGACAGAGCTCCCATCCACTAGTTTAGTTCCTAAACGTTTCCAACTGTGTGGACTGGGTCAAGTCAAAGTCAGGATACCCAGATGGAAGTCCTGGCTCCTAAGTGACTGGCTTTCATTATTTGCTGTTTCCAGGCACATTTGAAGAAGGTTGAATTGGAAGCCGAGGCGAGACTCCACCTTAGGTGTTCTGTGACAGAGAATGTGGGAGTTACAAGTGGAACTTATTCCACAGTGCCTACTTCTAGCTGATTTTTCTTCAATCAAAGTAGATTACTGTATGACTAACAATTTGCTTGTTCATTCATCTGATCAGAAATTCAGGTTGTTTCCAGTTTGTAGAAACTGACTAAAGCAGCTATGACTGAGTTTGCAAGTCTTTCGTATGGACATATGCTTTCATCTCTTCAGTGAATATCCAGGAGTACAACACTTGGGTAATGAAGTAAGTAGAAGTTTAAATTTGTATGAAACTGATTTTCTACAGTGCCTATACCATTTTATGTTCCCAACAGAAAAGCCTGAGAGCCTTGGACATTCTATATCCTTGGCAATATTTCCTGATATGGCTCACAGTTTTAATTACAGACACTCCAGTAGGTATAAATGGTTGCCTCATTTGACATTTTGTGTTTCCTTCATGACTAATGTTTAACACTTTTGTGGATTTTGGAATTTTGTACAGTATCTTTTCAAGCTTCAAAATAAAGGACACTTTTTGAATAATGGTATTGTAAGTTCAATTCTGGATATGGATTAGTAAAAATACTTTTCCAAAACCAATGCTAATATTTTGATATTGAAATTCCATTGAGCCTAAGTCAGCTTACTCATTTCTCAATTTAGTAAAACTTTTACTCTATAATTTCATCACAATACTTACACATGAGCAGTGGTCTCCATGTTGCTAAACTCAGTCCCACTCACCTGTCACAACTTTGGCAGAGTTTACATGACAGTGACCTTCCTATCACTGTTAACCTGTCCTGCTTAATTTTACTCCACAGCACTATCATCTAAGTGATAGTTTGAACTGTTCCACAGTACCCTACCCTTGATTTTTCTTTAATCAAATACTACTGCATGAACGTTTTATAATTTGCTTGTTTATTCATCAGATATTTAGAAATTTAAGATTTAAGGTTTCAGAAATATCAAATTTATCCTGTTATCAATCTCCTTCATTAGCATATTGTCTTGTTCACTGCTATATCTGTAGGACCTAGAGTAGTTCAACGCAGTATACCTTTGATAAATGTGTTGAAAGAAAATGGAAAGGGGAAGCAGAGGGGAGGAAAAGAGGGGATTAGTAGGGAAGGAATGGAAGAAAGGAAGATAAGAAAAGAAACAGTTATGTGTCTCTACAAGTAATTTAATTGTTCCATAATCTTTATGGCTAGGATGTTTTAGAAGACGTTTCCAAAAACAAAATACATCTCAGGGAATGAGACCCAGAAGATGGTGGGGAGACAGACATTTGCTAGCAAGAACTGATCAATATTCTCAAACTCTAAAAGCCAAGGAACTGGCAAAGTCAAATGGCATACAATTGTCACGGGTACACTTGGGGACGCTTTCTCAGTGAGGGTGTAGAAGGCAAGAGTAGACAGCAGGCTAACAGAGCAGTTAGATCCTGGCTGTTATCAGCCTCGCTGTGGCTCTGGAGGGGGCTGCACAGACTCACCTCTGTGGTAGCGAGCTGTGATCAGTGCTGGGACCACAAAGAATACATCTCCAAGCAAGTCCAGGAGACTATCTCGGATTTCAACAGAAGAGTGTTTGTCATGAAAGTATTCATCAGACACAACATACAAAAGCTGGGCAGGAATGTTCTGCAATATATCACAATCACCGGAGATACAGGTCATCACAATAGTCAACATGTTAGCCACTTGCATGTATAGCATAATTCAACATATTATGTGCATTGCTCTAGTTAATACCATATAGCAATCTCACAGTGCAAGTATCAAAGTTAGCTCCACGTCACAGACCAGGAAAATGAGGCTTAGAAAGTTTAAGTGACTGGTCCAAATGGATCTGTTTGCTTCTAAATCTCATGCTCCTAACCACAGTGACATATCTCATTAACATGCTTCAAAAATAGAAATTCCTGGCCAAAACTAGCTATACTATGTATAGGGCTCAATGTAAAGAAAAAATTGCCCCCCCTCATTAAAAAGTACAGTCAACCCCTTCAGCTAGTCTCTCCATATTCCTCTGCTCCCAATTGGTCCTCTTCATTTCTTCCTGTTCATCTTACCCTTTGTCCCACAATACTTTTTCCCTCTTGTAGGCACTACAAGGCCTCACAGATGCCTATGCTCTTAGGCACTTACTGAAATACCTTGTCTTGTCCATTCAGTACCTATTAGAAGTGCAGGGACACATGCACTTCAAGAAGCATCAATGAGTGTAATTACCTGGCATTGAGTACAGTAGTCAATGTTTATGAAAAAAAAAAGGAAAATAAAAGGAGAAAAAAGGAAAGGAAGCTGTCTATATCCCAACATCTGGTACTGCTAAGTTACCATATATGTACGCAATGAACAAACAATGGTAGATAATCAATGGATAAATGACTAGTATTGCTAGAACTTAACACAATGCAGTGTTGGCATGCAGCAAATATGATGCCTTAGTCCCAGATGTGTATTTCAGGATTCAGAACTCTTCAAATTGTCAGATACTTCTGTGCACATGTTTTGGGCTGTGTAACATGCCTGGGGTTGGGAGTAAGCACCTCAGCATCTACCTACTGAGTAACATCTGAACAGTTGGACAACAAGCAATCAACATGCAGAAACAATAATTGCTAATAACCACAGATCAAAGTCAGATTTGGCTTCCGGTTGGCTACTAAAGTCCTTTAAATTTTAGGACTGTAGATGAAGGACTGCAGGCCTACGTTTACCAATGGTCTACTAAATGGATAAATGTATGAGAAATGCCTATGCCCTCATATGTTACTGCCAAGTACAGTGCTGCAAAGTTTAAGTTAATGACACTTGAGAATTCCAAGTTCACCTACCAGAATAGAGCGTATCACATGAAGAGCAAAAGACTTATTGGCTCCATCAATGATATCAGGAATTGTCTTCTGTGGAGAGAAATGGAGCATCTTTTGTGAGTCTTCTGGCCAGAAACCCACTTGAGCTCCCAGTTATTCGACTTTCCAAGGGGAGGATGGGAAGAGTAGAAACTCCTTCAGCACCAGGCAGTCACATGTAGGAGCCAAGGTGGCCACTCTGTGGAATGATCCCATTACCAGCTGACTTCTGTCATTTCAAAGCCTTATCTCCATTATCTTTATATGAGATTGTATTTGGGGGAACATTGAAATGAAGAGGGGATGATGTTAAAAGGCCTTGGTGTGGGTTCTCATCCAATCTAGTTGATGTTCTTAAGACAAATTCAACACAAAGACACTAAAAATCAAGCACACAAAGGATAGAGCATGTGAGGACAGTGAGAAGATGGCCATCTTCCAGCCAATGAGAAACTAAACCTACTCACACCTTGATCTTGGACTTCTTTGCTCCAGAACAATAAGAAAATGTCTAGTGTTTAAGCACCTAATCTACGACATTCTGTTGAAAGCCTGAGCTGCCTTAATCAGGCTTTGATACCAATTTAAAAGGGAAATCAGAAAATATGGCAACATTTTCCTTACAAGGACCTTTGCAATCGGGGGTTTCTGAGAACCCAACAGTAGGGATTCCAGCAGTGAAGTGGCGAGGCTGGTGACTGAGGCTACAAGCTCTGTAGCTGACTGACCTGAACTTGAATCTCCTCCTTGCCCTCAAGCTGTGAACTTAGCAAGAGCGTTAACATTGCATTTGTCCAATTCCTCTTCTGCAAAATGGAGATGAACAGTGCCCACCTGACACAGCTACAAGAACTGGGTTGATATTTGCAAAGCACGGATGATGGGACTGAGTTCCTAATAAGATCTTTATGTAATTCGTGAAATTATCTCCTGGAAATTTTACAGGGGAAAAAACATGAGGGGGTAGAAAAATTACTTGTAAAACCAGCATACTCTGGCACATTTTCTGCTAGAAATCTTGACTTATATCACCAACATAGATGCTTAAACATTCAGCTCCTGGAATGTTGGGGGGAATCTCAAGTGACTCAAGTTACCACAGGTATAATTTAAGCACTGAGAGCCCTGTATCTACTAAGAAGCTAGCATTTATTTTTGGAGCATTTCTTATGGCCTTCAACAGCCAGGAAAGATGTTAACTCTAAGTTCATATGGAATATTAGCACTGATCCAGGCTCTGGCCACCAATTCCCATCCCCATTCTGTAATTTTTGAAAACTTTCAACACATGGCATCTGAGAATGTCCTATATGCCAGGATATTTCATGTGTCTGAAGTAGGCACTAATATCAGACATATTTCACAGATAAGAAAAGGTGATCAGTCAAGCACAAAACCAGAACATTGCTCTGGAGATTCAACTAACAATGGTACATCATGCTCTAACAACTCAGGAAGTTAACAGCCTGGCTGTAGGCAGTTATCCAGTAGCTTTATAATTTGGTCAATCTGTTTCTTTGTCCCATTCTTTTGACTTTAAAAGCTGGTCTATATAAAACAGCATTGAAGATGTTTGAATCTTTCAATCTTCTGAGAACACATGGAAAGGTTGTTTCCAACAGAAAGAGTCCTCTTAAAGTACAGTGTCAGGAAGTTAAGGCTCCTTCTCCACCTCAGAGAAGTCCCCCTTGACCAACGACCTTCTGTCATCCCTGAAGAAGCTGTCTCTCCTCACTTTTGGCCTTCAGAACACTCGGCACTTTCTGAATCTTTAACCATGCATTTCATCTGTAATTTCCCTCAAGAAAGCAAGCATGGGACAGGCAATAGGTGCAGCAGTGATTTTGCTACTTGGGATACCCACATCTTGTACTGGAGCATCTGAATTCCAGCACCAGCTCCATTTTTTATCCCAGCTTCCTGCTAATGTGCACCTTTGCAGGCAGCTGGTGATGGCACTCATTGAGTGAGATCCAAATTGACTTGTAAACTCCAAACTCCTGGTTCTAGCCTAGCCCAATTCCAACTGTTGTGGGCATCTGAGAAGTTTCCAAAAATGCTGGAAGAACGTGACTTGTTTTCTATTGAATGTTCAATTTTTATAAGCATATAGTAAATGCTAAAATGTTTTCAAATTAAACATTTCAGAAGATTTTTAGAAGTCAAAATGGCAGAATCAGGGATGGACATGAAACATTAAAAGGACTAAATTTTTAAATTGAGTGCATTTCAGCTCTGAAGTGGTACATAATTATGTTATATTTTGGTAAAGATCCAATAGATCCAATTTGCTTATTTTTATATAACTGCTTTTACCATTATAAACTTGTATGAGGAACAAGGCAAAATCCTATAGTGACTCCATTGAGTCCTCCATGACTCCCTGCTACATTTGGATCTTCCCCTAGTGCTCATGGTCTGAAGGCTTGGTCACAGTGTATCAGCATTGAGAGGTGGTAGATCTTTAAGGGGTTTAGGCCTAGTAGAAGGTGATTAAACCATAGGACCAACACTTCTCAAAAGGACACAATCCTTTCAGGACTAGGTTAGTTCTGAGAGCAATTTATTCCAGACAAGGCCACCTCACTTGCTTGGCCCCTTCAGCAAACAGCAGTTCTCTTCATACCTGTACCAGGTTAACCAAGGAAGTCCTTGCTGTTTGGACTAGCCAGCCACCATAAAAATGAGCCAAATAAACTTTTGTTTATATACTAGCAAACATCAGGTATTATAGCAGCACAAATATGCCAAGATGCCTCTTCTAGAGAAGGGAAAGATTATCACTGGGTACTTGGCGAATGGGCTCCAACCCTCAACACTTGGGGTCCTCTAGGGAAATGTCCAGTTGCCACATAACTGTTGGGAAATCACTGGGTAGGCAGGTTCAATTCTTACCATGGGGAGCAGGTAACCACACTCATGGTTATTGACACCAATGATAGAAGGAACTGTTTTGAAGGTTTGTTGAGTCAACAGTTCTAGAGGCTCTTCAGGAAAGAAACGGCCATCAACCACTCGAGTGAAAGACTTTGTTTTCTGCAATAAGAGAAGAAAACTCAATAGCTTCCTCTGTTTGCAAAATCGTTGTTCCTAAATCTTAGCCCAGCTAAGCCAAACCAGTGTTATCAATGTTCAAAATGCATTAGAAAGATTCTGGTAGGAACTGGCAACATGGTATAACAGGCTAATCCTTCACCTGCAGTGCTGGCATCCCATATTGGTGTTGATTTGTGGCCCAGCTGCTCTACTTCTGGTCCTGCTTATGGCCTGGGAAAACAGTATTAGATGGGTTCAAGTCCTTGTGTCCCTGAACCCATCTGGAAGACCTGAATGAAGCTCCTTCCTCCCAACTTTGGATCAGCTCCACTCTGGCCCCTGCACCCATTTGGGGAGTAATAGCTGCTCCCCAGTCAGTGGATGGAAAGTCTATTTTCTCTGTAAAATTTGCATTTCAAATAAAAATGAGCTTAATAAAGGGAAAAGGTTCCTGCAAGAGCACCATTAGTGTCATTCGGGAATTTATTAGAAGTGCAGGTTTTTGGGCCCTATTCAAGGCCTACTGAATATGAAACTTTTAGGGCTTGCATCCCAGAAAATTTTAGCAAGTCTTTCAGGTATTTCTGATGCATACTTAAGTTTGAGAAACAGTGGCCAAAGCAATGGGCAAACTGGGGAAGGAGCAGAATGACCAAGACAGAAGAAATTGGTTTGAGTATGTTCCTGAGATGTCTTCCTCAGAACACTGTGCCCTGGACTTTGCAGCATATTTCTTGGCTCTCAAAGCAACCTGTCTCTAATCATGTTTTCCAAGCTTCCTGTTATATGGGTTCAGTAAAAGGGAGCACTGAAAGAGCAAAAACACATATTGGGTCAAGAATTTATCCATTTCATGGAGTTCTACTTACACAAGTATTCAATATGCAACCAGACAACTTCTTATTGTATTGTTGTATTTTTATGCCTGATTATTTCTTAGAAGATTTATTTGAAAGGCCAGCTTAGAGAAGGAAAGAAGCCTTCCACGCATTGGTTTACTCGCCAAATGGCTGCAACAGCTGGGGCTGAACTAATTCAAATCCAGGAACAAGAAGCTTCCTCAAGGTTTCCCACCTTGATGTAGGGACCCAAGGACTTACAGAATTGTCTGTTGCTTTTTCAAGCTATTAAGAGAGCTGAACAGAAAGTAAAGCAGCCAGCATAAAAACAGGATGCCGCATAGGGAATCAGTGTGCTACACTACCACCCAGCCCCAACACACTTGATGATCTTGCTGTATCAAGGTTTTGAAGGAAGCCAGGACTGACGCAGTAGTTAAAATCACTGCTTGGAGGTCTGTATCTCATGCCAGTCTTGGTTAATGACTGCTTCCAGGATTAGTTAATTCAGCTTCCTGGTCATGTGCATATTGAAGGCAACAGGTGAAAGCTCAAGTACTTCGATCTTTGCCATTTACACAGCAGACACAAATTGGGTTGTAGGGTCCTGGCTTCCATCTGGCCCACCGTGGACTTCTACAGACATCTGGGAAGATCTTTGTCCTCTCACACTCCTACCTTTCAGATAATATGAATTATTCTTTAAAAGATCAAAAAATTCAATGTTAGAGAAATATTGACCCAACTGACCAGTTGTGAATAAAAGTTTGTCCTGAGTCAGATAAGCTTTCCTTGAATACCTGCAGAGGTGAATACCTCACCTGGCCTGTCTCTAGGCATTTGAAGTAGATTATCTTTTTTTACCAGCCCAAAATGACTTCATAGAATTTTCTTGGGCTTGACTCCAGTTTCTGGTGGTCTTTTGAGTAAGCATAGGCCTTTATCCCAGTGAGATTCTTTCACTGCCTTTGGGAGCAACTCATGCATTTTGCTGGATCTTTTCCAGCTAAGAAACATCCCAGTCCCATAAAGTTTCTGAAATTATCTGCATTGGTTTTAGACATCACTTCTATTTTATAGCTCTTGAAGAGTCTAACTCGTTTTTCAAGTCACAAATGAGAAAGGGGCAGAGGAAAGAGGAAGGGAGGGAGGGACGGAGGTAGAGACAGAGACAGATATTTTTGTACCACTCAAATAGCCCTGCCCCCAAAACTCTGCCTTCTCTCCTCACCTGGCCAAGGCTCAGTAACTCCTTGGAGGATTTCTCTCTCAGGCACGTCAGCAGGGCCAGGGAGTCTGACGCATTGCAATCACAGGCTTCTGCAACAATCTGCAACTATTTCCGAAAAGACAAGGTCAGAACATGATATTGAAAATATCTAGGAAAAATGAGTTTGGAAGTGTCCAAAAAAGTCCTAGGCTGGTTCTTTCTACATGAAGCCCACATCTTCTCCCCAGTTTCATGTCCCCTAGGACACACTGATAAAGATGAAGCAGTGACACCTTAGTTTCTTACCTGGTGTTCCTGGCATCATCAGCAGGTGCCAGAACTGGGTATGCAATTGTTGCATCCTTCAAATGTAGAAAGGAATCAAGAATCCTGCATGCTTAGCTACAATGGATCTAGGTCCCACAGATTGCAGTGGTCCAATCTTGAGTGCCAAATGAAGCTAGAAGCCCTAACAGTGAGAAATGGTTTTGCAAGCTCCTAATCAGATGAGGCATGACTCAAGAGCAGATGCAGTTTTTCAGCTCCACCCAAACCCCAGCCACACCTACAGCCTAACATGGCCTAGACAGTTTCAGCCTCTGTACCAATTCCACTCATTCTTCTTGAGGCCGAGATTCTGCCTCCTCTGAAATGTCATTTGCATATCATACAGCCCTCAAAAACCCCTTTCTCATTTAATCTATTATCTATCCTATCACCTCCCCTATCTTCTTTATGTAGCCCATTACAAAACACCTTGCCCTATCAGTGAGTTGTCTGGCTGTACTTTCCAAATTTGTAGACTTTGTCCCTTGAAATGAACAGTTCTTAATTTCAGGACAATTGCAGATGGCCTGAAGATATAAGAAAAACTACAGACCCTCTGTCTTGGAAAATAAGCATATCGGGTTTGCATATAATTCAGGGCACTCAAGAACCCTTCCAAACCTAGCCATGAATTCCAGGTCAAAATCTCTTGTAATAGATTCTATCCTTCCAGATTTAGGTTATGCATTCTAATAACACAAATTCTAATCGAGCCAAAGAAACAACGGACCCTCTGAATTATCAGATTTAAAAACAGCTATCTCTTTAGTGATATCAAAAATTAACATTAAGTAGATTTTTATAATTTCAGAATGCTGTTTCACCTTTTTAGAATATTTTTATAATATATCTAAGAAAATTTACCACTAAAGTAATTCCCAGATACTTCATCAGAGCTAAATCCTACAGTCTGTAGAGTCAGGCCTTCCATGGATATCAAGGCTCACTATGGGCCAGTGTCAAGTTCCTGGAGCATGGTCCACAGGGAAAGCCTAGCACACGATATGAAGCCAACAGTCTGGACTCCTGACCAAAGAGAAGAAAGTAGAGATATGTTAACTAGATACCTACATCTTTACTCCTTTGATCATCAGCAGACTTCAGGTAGGGAATGATGGCTACCCCACTCTCCATGATGGCCCTGTGGAACAGACCAGTGGCCATGGGGGACAGAACCTGGAGAGAACAGACCAAGGAGAAGTTGTTCAGGGGACATTTCTCCCCATATGTACCATCCACTCCTTCAAAGAAACCTTCCCAGAAAGCCTCCTTAAGAGCTCCAATCTTAGAGAAAAGCAATGCCCTGGGGTTCAAGGACTAGTGTGGAAAGTTGGCCAAGTTACTTAAACTTCTTGAGCACCTGTTTCCTCATAAACTTGGAAGTCAAACATTGTGACATGTAGATTCTAGTTCCTCCACTTCCTGAGTTACCTCTGGCAAGTTGCTTGGTATTTCTCAACACCTATTCCCTCTCCTATAAAGGAAAAACTGAGTTCATATTACAAGACTGTCCTGAAGAGTAGAGGAAGCCATCAACATGAGGGGGTAGATGTTAAATCAATGACTAGGTTACCAATTTGAAAATCAGCATCCCATATCAGCAAAGATCCAGCAACTTCCCTCTTGACCCAGCTTCCTGCTAACATGCATACTTGGAGGCAGCAGTGATAAGTCAAGCGCTTGGGTCCCTGGCACTCATGTGGGAGACCTGGATTGAGTTTCAGACTTCAGTGTCAGCCTGGCCCAGTTCCGGCTGTTGTGGATATTTGAGAAATGAGCCAGGGATAAAAAATCTCAATTTCTCATTCCTCAATTTCAAATAAAATGAAAGTATTTTTTTAAATGTAAACGTCTTTGAGGACTGACTGGTCAAATTTTACTCATGCAATAATGGCTGTTATTACAAATGTAAGACTGAGTTAATTTTGAAGACATAAAATATAGCCTTAAGATAATCAAATACAATCACAGAAGTTTTATCCTGCTGCCATATGACTGAATTTTGTAATTAGCATGCTGAGTGACGCTGAGGAAATCCTGACTAGTTAGAAGCAGTGGGCCATTTTCTAGCACCTCTGTCACTTTGTTTCTTGCTAAGACAGGTATGTTTGCTTTCAAACTTGTTTTTATTGTACTTCTTATTTACATAGTCAACAGAAGTCATAGAAACTGATAAACTTCATGTAAAAAAAAAAGCAAAATTATATAAGAATTCAACAGAGCAGTTAAGATGCCACTAGAAATTTTGCATCTCAAACTGGAGTGCCTGGGTTCAAGTGCCTGCCTCCACTCTCAATTTTAGCTTATGGCTAATGTGCATCCTGGCAGCATGTGATGGTTCAACTTTCATGCCTGCTACCAAGACACCAATTCACTTCCAAGCTCCTGGCTTCAGCCAGGATGGACTCTGCTGGGACTGAAGAATGAGCTAGATGGGTCTATGTCTCTCATTCTCTGTATCCATTTCTTTCCTGTCTTTCAAATAATTTTTGTAAACTTACAAAATCATGTCTCAGAAAAAGACAAATAGCTAAAAATATTGCTGCCAAAATTGGTGTGAACATTTACAGAGTATATAGCAGGAGAAAGGAAAAATATTGAGGCAGTATGCAATCAGGAGGTACTTCAGTCCAACTATTTTTTCAGGTGCCTTAAATTTCAGGCTATGAAGAAACCTGCAATTTGAGGGCAGTGAATTCTGAAGGTGATTTATGCTGATTGGTGAGGGAATGAACATGTCATGCATTCTGTTAAAATATTTACATGCATGTTTTTAGCTATTCTATGCTTAATTTGAATTTTCTATTTAAAAAGTGACTGCCAGGGCTGGCAATTAAACACTACGGTTTTTCCCTTACAAAAAAGAAATCTTTCTCACATTGCTTATTCATTACTTATTAGATGATCCAATTAACCCTGTAAAACAGTTGTGTCAATTTACAATGTGTGAGGTTTTTCAGGAAGTCCATGGAAAACATACATTACGATTGAGACTCAATGCACGAATATCCATTGTTAGGCACTAAAATAAGTCTTTTCATTCAATGTGCATAGTTTTTGAAGTACTCTTAAACTTGTAAGGCTCAAAGGAGGCCATGTATATATTACAGTGTTCAACATGAAAGCACTGGTACATTATGAGTGATTCACCGTCCCCTCCCTCAACCCCACTGGGCCTCATGCAGGTCACAAAGCAGAGAACTCACAAGGCTGGAAACACTTATGCCTCCTGCTGACTCGCCAAAGATGGTCACACGGCCAGGGTCCCCACCAAAGAAATTGATGTTCTTCTGCACCCAGGAAAGAGCAGCCAGCTGGTCCTTAAAGCCCCAGTTCCCAGAAGCATGCTGGTCCTGTGTGCTGAGGCGCAAGAGAAGCGAGGAGAATTCATGGTCAAATGGTTACCAATGGCTTCCTGCAACCCAAGGAGTACTGAGAAGGGTTTGAGAGAGGCCTGAAAGAGCTGAGAAAATTAGCCTTAAGGATTCGAGAACCTGACACAAGCTATGCACCTTAAGAACTAACAGACATGATTATATATTCCTCCAGGACGACCCAGGGAAACCTCCCTCTTGTATCCCATCTGCTGACCAAACGCAGTGGATCTGAGATCTAAAAGGATCCAAATCAGAGCCACAAAATGAAAGATGCACAGGCTTCTGTTTGGCCACGTAGGATGAATGTCAGTCAGAAACATGCGACTACACTTTAAGTGAGAACAAGACTTACTTTTGATTTTTACAGCTGCTAAATCTACTCAATATGAAAAGCTCATTCTTTGGAGTGACGAGCACTGCCTATGGCCACTTCACAGCTATCTCTTGAAGCTCTGAAGTGTAATCACTTAGGGAGACTCACGTGAAGAAGCCAAATATTCCAAGCCGGTATTGAGTAGTCACAACCAGCACATTCTCATAGGCAGCTAGTGCAGACCCATCGAAGATGGAAGCTGAGCCAGTCTCGAAAGCACCCCCTGGAAACCACACCATCACCTACGGGAGAAGAACACTCCACTCAGCTCACCTGGTGCTGAAATAAGGAAATAAGCCCGGATGTTGTTGTATTCTTCAGGGAAATTCAGCAGTATCACTTTCCTTTCTAAAAAGGATCAGAGGTTTTGTTTTTTTAGGGGGTGTGGGTAGTCCAAGGTTAAGCAAGTGGGCTCTGGCACCTGAAAATGGGGCTTTAATTCTTAGCTCTGCCACTGAACGGCTGAGGAGATTATTCAACCCTCTCAGGCTTTTCTTCTTCATCTGTAAAATGTGAGAGGGGAAAGAAACATCTCCCTGATGAGGCCCTGAGGTTTAAGATTCTCCATCTAAGTCAGAAATGCTGACCCATTCAAGTGTTCACAAAGCATATATTTGATGTAATTGACACTGTGACCCAGAACACAGTGTAAGCATGTACAAAGCCACAGCTAGTCATGACTGTACCTTAGGGCCAGTGCCCTGGCACAGCAGGTTAGAATGTTGGTTGTGATATCAGCATCCCATGAGTGCCAGTTCAAGTCCCAGATACTCCACTTCCAATTCCACTCACTGCTAGTGCACCTGGGAGGGCCCTTGTCGGCCATATGGGAGACCAGTGGAGTGCTAGACTCCTGGGGTAGGCTTAATCCAGCACATCTAAGCAAAGCAGAAGGAAGCTCTCACATACCATGCCTTTTCAAATAAATATTTTCACAAAGATGTTTGAATTTAAGGTTTCTTCTAACATCTGAAGAAAGAAAATAGAAGTTTGCTAACCTTATCTAGAAAACTAGGAGCAGGTAACATAAGACATAATTAAAATGCCACCGTAAGTATTTACATACTGAATAGTAAGTCCCTTCCATTCTTTTAAAGGTCCTATTAGAAACTACAATTCTTAGAGCTTGGAAAGAAAAATCACTGAGGAAAAGGGGGAGCTGGACACAGCATTGGTTAGGCACTAACTGGGCACAAGTTATGAGAAGTTACTCGTGCCCTCCTCATGTCTTCTCTTCATCCATAGAGTGGGTCTAATCATCCTCAACCATTGGGTTACTGTGGAGCTTAAAAGTAATATTCTGGGCCCAGTGCAATAGCCTAGTAGCTAAATAATTGTCTTGCATGTGCCAAGATCTCGTATAGCTGCTGGTTCATACCCCAGCTGCTCCACCACCCTTCCAGCTCTCTGTGACCTGGGAAAGCAGTAGAGGATGGTCCAAAGCCTTGGAGACCTGAATGAAGCTTCTGCCTTTAGATTGGCTCAGCTCCAGGCTTTGAGGCAGCTTAGGGAGTGAACCAGCAGGTGGAAGATCTTTGCTTCCTCTCTAAGTCTGACTTTCCAATAAAAATAGTTCTTAAAGTAATATCCTGTACATGGTGTACAGTAAGCAAATATACTGCTGTTGGAATACAGTAGAATGACCTGACTACTGCAGAGGGCAAGAGAGGAAGATGGGAGGATGTGACAGAAAGATTATATAATGTATCATTCACACTTCTACAGGAATTTTACATATTCATTTGCATTTTCTTAAATTTGAGACGTACAAAGCTGGAGGAAAATAAAACCTCCCTTCCACTAGTTCACGCCCAAAATGCTTCCAACAGCTAAGGTTAGGTTGGGCTCAAATCCAGAAAATAAAAATGCAATCTAGGTCTCCCATGTAAGTGGCAGAAATCCAGTTGGTTAATTATCTCACAGTGTCTGCCCTGGTGACAAGCTGAAGTTAGGAGCTAAAGCTGGAATCAACCTAAGTAGCCCCAAAGCAGGGTGTGGGCATCTTTGGTTTGGTTTGGGTTTTTTCCAGAATTAGTGATTTTTTTACTTGGTGGGGGTTTTATTTTAATTTTATTTTTAATATTGCTTATAGAGTTGAGCAGGATGCATGCCCATATGGGCCTCTGATTAGGGTGGGGAGGGTCAAGTATGTAGCAGAAAGGTAAGACATGTGTCCACAAAGGTTGAAAGGAGCGTTGCCCCTTGTTATAAAACCATATCAGCACCTGGGGATGGGGGACAGTCCTTTAAGGACACCTGAGAGCCTCCAATGTCAAATGACTACAATGTCTCTTAAGTAGGTTTTAGTTATAGAAAGTTGTCAGTTCTGTTGCTCCGGGTTAAAAATCTTTCCAAGTTCTATTAGGTGACAAAGTCTACCCTGGTGCATCCAGAAACCCAGAAACATGCTGCAAAGCTTGGCCTGAAGATTTGTTCAGCTTGTTCTGCTTTCCATTCTTCGATGAAGCAGTGACATACCTGCCGACCTGCATGAGCTGGCCATCGTGTCCCCTGTGTGATCCTGGACATGCTGTCCACCACATAAGGCATCAACAACTGAGGAAGCCCAGTCCTGATACATGCACCACAGGTCTGATCACACATCTTGGAATTTTTATCTGAATCCAGCAATCTAGTTGGAGAGTTCAAGAAACTTTGCCTGGGGTGACTTCAGACTTGACTTGTGTGTATTAAAAGGTGCAGGGGCAGGTGTGGTCTGTCACCTGCACTAGCCAATGCACATACTGATAGATGCAGCTTGGTCAGCTCCTTCTCATGCCCATCTCACATGAACCAACAGGTGCTACAACCCAGCCTGTTGTGGGGGCATCCAAACTGCTAGGCTGAACACCCACCTTTGTATTCTTAATTGCAATATTTAAGACAGTTTGTAGTTAAAGTTTGAAGGATGCAAATGTCATTTTTAAAAAGGATTTAAAAAAAGCGGAATCTTTAAGCAGTATCTTTTCTGACATTTTATAGGCCATTAAATGCTAAGTGAGCAAGGGTGTACAAGAAGATAAGCATTTGCTTTTAAGATGCTTGTACCCCATGTCAAAGTACCTAGTTTTAATTCTCAGCTCTAGTTCTTGATACCAGCTTGGAATATGGGTGATCAGAATTGAATTCCCAGCTCCTGACTGACCACAGCCGAGCTCTGACAAATGCAGGCTTTCGGTGAAAGAACTAATTTAAGAAGTTCCTTTCTCCTCTCCCTCACATTCCTCTCTCCTTCCCAAGTAAACTTAATGTGGTTAAACCAATCAAAATAAAAAAATCAGAGTCATGAATGTGATGATATTCCTCTAACTCAACAGGAAGTGAGTGAATTCCAGATACCCTGCCACCCTGTTTGGATCCCAGGCCAAAACCCACTAGCTGGAGCCCCATGTGCAGCAGTCTTACAGGCAGTTTGGAGTTCTCGCGAGCAGGAACTGGTGCATAGATGTTAAGGTACAGGCAGTCTTCTGAGATTTCAAATGTAGGATAACGCACCTTGAGTATGTGCTGATCTGAGAGCAGCCACTCCAAGTTCTGGAAGCACCTTGGAGAAGCAAAGACAATGTCCTCAGAACTGCTCTCAATCAAGTTGTCCGAAAGGGGCCAATTGCTGTGATGGTGGAGAGATCTGGCCCTGCCTGAGCAGAATTGGCATATGGGAAATGTGGCCATAAAGTTGAGCATGCTCAGCTCCTCGCAGTTTCCAAAAACAAATAGATCAAGTAAACAAACTTGATACAATTCCTGAGCAGGAAAGCATGTTGTGCAGAATGATATTATTGTTAATTATATAGCATATTCCCATCATGATACTAGAGACTCAGACTGATTTTGACTGAGTCCTCAGATGATAAAGAGCAGAGCACTGGGTTGAAGAACGAGGCCTTTATCCCTGCAGCCTCTCTTCCACAGTCCAAGGAGAAAGGATATCCACACCTCCCCACTAGGAACAAGGTGAGGGGGACTTCTAGGGAATCTTCTGCATCCACATTCTGCTTAAACTAACCCCTTACTCTAGACTACTCCACTCCTCCCTCATATTTGCTCGCTCACATTATTCCATTTCTTTCAGATTTAGTCCATTATCACCTCCTCTATGAAGCTTTCTGAGAGTTCTCCAGCTAAACATAGCTATTCTTTGGAAATGCCTGTGACGTATTGTGTTCTTGCCTAGAACTTGTCCTAAGTATATACAAAAACATTATCACCTTCCCAACCCAACTTTGAGCAACTAAGAGCCAAGGACTCTGAACAACCTCTATAGCTCAGAGCTCCAATTTCCAGAACCTGACACACAGGAACACTGACAGCTACTCATTTGTGTGGAGATGTCTACTGTACTACCTGCCCAATTAGTGCTCATTGTTTTCCTAATACAGCAGTGAGTAGTAAGCAGTAGGGAGTCACTGATGCAAATCCACCCACTGACAGGCCTTTGATATCCTCTTGCCCCTTTGTGTATCATTGAACAGAAAATTCGGTTTCGTTGCTTTCAGAAAAGCCATCTCTAACTTCCTCATGAAGCTGGGCTAAGAGGTTCTTTGTGTTCCTCCAGCACTCTGACATCTTGCTTTTTCTATTGCTCTGATTCAATTTTCAGTTATTTGTCTTCCCCCCACAATAAGGGCATAGAACCAGCCTGATGTCTCAGGATCTTAACAGAAAACCATCTATTGAGCTGGTTCTCAGTTTTAACAGAGTGAATGAACATATCAACCAACCAGTTTCAGCTGAATGTCTTCAGTCTCTGGGGCATGTGGGCTATCTTCTGTAGCCTAGAGACCTGGGTACCAGGCTACTCTTTTTAAGGACCCCAATGCCAGAAGTCCATGTGGCCAACAAGAGAGCTATGTAGATCTTAAGTATCAGAAGATTGTTGGGGATTTGAAAGTCTCGCTGCCTACTCACAAATCTACCTCACCCCTCCACTTAGTATTCAATTATTCATCTCATCTGCTAACTAGTTACTCACCCAAGCTTGAAAATTTTACAGTGACTGGCAGTTTGACTTTCCAGGACACCTTTACATTGAATATTCACTCCAGGCACATTTGGAGTTCCCAATATGGAGCAGGGGCTTCCCTAAGCCAGTCTGACCATAGATCATGTCCAAGTGAGAGGTTATATGGAAACACCTGGATAATTCCTTGTGACACGAGGACTCAGGAAGCCCTTAACAAGCTTTCCAGTGCTGTGTGGTACTCAGAATCCCTAGAAAACATTCAGACCACACAGTTTCCTGGAATTCAGTTCAGCGGACCGATTTAAAAGGAAGCCAAGGGAAACTGGATATTTCTAACACTTCCAGCCATTCTGTTGATAAGCTGGTTTGGGAGCACTGGGACGACTGAAAGACTTGCAGAATCTGTGGTGTCCCCTCCCCCTTTTCACCTACTCCTCTGTGGCCCCATGGCTGCATGACTTCATTCCCTCTCAGGAATCTCCCCAAGCTCTGAGTCTCAGGCCAACCATGGGGCCTTGCCTAACCTTACAGTTTTGGGTAGGAGGTAGCATCTCGCAAGTCATTCCAGGGCCTTGCAGGTTGTGGGTCTGTAAATCGCAGGGGTCCCAGAGGGGGTGCAGCAAAGGGAACTCCAAGGAACACGTTGACAGGCATGGGGCTCCCTTGCACGGCAACTCGCTTCCCCTTGACCCATCCCAGCTGGGTGTTTCTTTGTGGTGCTTCATTGTCAGGCCCTGGAGGAACACATAGGGAGAATGAAGAAGTTACTGTAAAGTAGCAGACACTCCATCCAATGTGGAGCTTCCCAATGAGGATGCTCCATCCTACACAGCCCCATGTCGCTATTTCCTCTCCATAAATCTACCTCTATCAGGATACTGTAGTCCAACAAGCCATGCAATTTTTCCCAGTTCCTTTGGGATCTACTTCTATCCTGCTATGTGGAAGCATTCTGAGGGAATCAATGTCCAGGATCCCAAGAAGTTCTCTACCCTGGGTTCCCCAGCTTCCATCACTTCCATACCCACCGGCATAATTCCTGTACATCATACATGCACTTACCAGTTCTTGGTTTTTCTGAGAATTTAGACAAATGCCTTTTAAAGATCAACCTAGAGGATTTCTTAACAATTAGATCAAGGAACTTGTGACTTGATAAATCAAGTGTATGTTGTTCATACACAGGAAAATGTCAATAAAAATACTGAAAATTCTCATGCACATGACACCTATGTTGACTCGTCCACTTCCAGGGTCATTTAGACGGCACCTAAGAAGACCTGGTACAAGTAAGTTGGTTTCCATGTAGAATATGAAGCCTTGAGAAGGAAATTATCCAGCTACCTATCCAGAAGGACCCAGGGATCTTAGTGCTACTGTTCTGATGTCATTTCATTTGTCAAAGTCCTATCTCCCCAGTCAGGACTGAGATGCACAGGCTCTGCCCATCCCATGTCCCTCCCCAGAACCCAGGACAAACTCCCCTTCCAAGTCCCTTGTAGGATGTGAGCAGCTCAAGGGCAGAAGCAGGGTTACTTATATTCTATCCATACCCCCAGAAGGAAGGTCTGGCCCAATTCTCAGCAACTCCAGGATACTGGAACCCCAAGGAAATGCACAGCCACTCATGAGACCTCTGAGAACTCGTGAGAAATACATTTACTCTTCCAGTGGAAAATCTTGTCCCCTCCCACATTTCAATACATCTCACCATTGCTGGCAGCCACAATGACCCAAATTACACAGAATAGAGCCTTGCTAGGGTGCACCCAATCCCCAGTCATCTGGCTGGACTGCTTCAGTTTCCTGGATATCCACAGATACTGGTGGTCTCAGAGAACTTCAGTCGGTGACAAGAGTTTCCTCTTAGTAGAGACAAGAGTTGAGCAGACAGATCCAGAATATGAAGTTAGTGAAGGATAGCACCAGACTAATACTTTCAGAGGAATTGATCAAGCAAGACTTTCCTGTTCTGATTTACATAAAAGGAAGCTGATGATTAACTTTTAAACCAGGGAAAGATCATTTGGTAGGCTATGGCCTCATAGGATATAGAAAGAACATGCAGGAATGGTAAGCCAGGGATCTCAAACTCATTTTGTGGGGCCAGAAGACACCAAGCCAACTTGGTTTGCTACTTGTGAAAAAAAACAGTGGTAGAGACTGGGAAAAACAGCACATGCTTTGTGTTGTTTACTTTTCCCCTCTAGTAAGTATTCTGCTGTGACAATGTAGGCCAGCCAAATAAGACATTCACAGTCTTGATTGTAAAACTGAAACCGTGTTTAAGAAAGATTGCCATGTGAGCCCAACACAGTACTTCAACTGGCTTGGGTTATCATGGGCCAGCCCTTCTCCCAATCTGATTCAGACCCAGGCTTTCCTGTGTAAATATGAGGAGACTGGATCAGGAAGGTACAATTAGAGCAAGCGACAGACTAGTCTTCAGTGTTCTAGGCTCTCACTGTAGTATTGTTATTATGCCATATTCTGAGAAACAGCATGTAGGCCATGGAAGATTCAGATCAGAACCCAGGAACACCACCACCATAGCTGGCTCCATGCCTCTGGATGGATCCAGGAAAGGGGCTCATCACATGCTGAGAACTAGCCCACAGAATTATTTGGGGAATTGATTGAAGATGTATTATTTTCTCCTATCCACTAGATACTTGGGGGCTCTGGAATTTGAAGACAACAATAGTAGGTGAAACATGCTAATGCACAGGGCATTTTCCAGAGCTATCACTTCAAAAACAGGCAGGGAAACCACAAGCTGGTGTTGTGTGTGTGCAAGCTACAAAATTCTGCACAGTGCAAAACCTTTAAGGTCAGAGCAAGGGATGGATTTATGCACTTTGCTAACAGCAGGTGCTCCATAAAATTTGGGGATTTGAAGTGTTGCAGTAAGTTGTTTTTCTCCAACTCTGATTCATTTCCAGACACACTGCTGAAATGAAACACATGGAAAAGTGCATTTTGCATAGCAAAGATTTCACTGTGATGTCTACATGACATATCTGAGTGCTTCAGTTCAAGTCCCTTCTCCACTTTTGATCCAGCTTCTTGTTAATCCACACCGTGAGAGGCAATAGATGGTGACCAAAATAGTTGGGTCCCTATTATCTATGTAGAAGACCCCAATTGAGTTCTATCCCCCTGGCTTCATCTTGGCCCAGTCTAAGTGATTATGGGCCTTTGAAAGTTATTTTCTGGTTCACTTTTTCTGTGCATGTCTACCTTCTGAATAAGTAAAAAGGTTGTATCGTATTATTCCTGTTACTCTAAAGCACCTGTGAGGAGTTTCTGGAGAAAGGGTTCCTTTTACCTGCATTTTAAAGTATACAACTTAAGATCACAGCCTCCATCACATAGCTCAGTGTCTGATGGAAGCTGTTTATGGTGGGTGCAGGGGAATAACTACATGGTGATCCAGGAAGCAAAGAGAACCTGGGTTGAATTCAACTCAGATAATCACTCTCATTAGAATCACCTTTAAGAATATGCCTCCAATCATTCAAACACCTTCCAAGACCCACCTCTCAGATGCCATAATTAGATCAAATCTATGCTTAATTCATTAACCATCAACATAAGACATCAGAGCTTCAACACTGGCATAAATTTTGGGGAGCAAATTCTTACCTGCTTTGGCAACTTTGAGGCTTTAGCCATCTTCCCCCTCTGGTCCTTCCTAACTACCAACACAGATTCTCCCTGACCCAGAATGGTCTTCCCATCCAGTTAGAAATTCTATCAGTATCAGCATTGTGGCATAGCAAGTCATGCTACTGACAGAACACCAGCATCCCTCACTGAAGTGCCAGCTGGAGTCCTAGCAACTCCACTTCTGATCCAGCTTCCTGCTATGGCACTTAAGACAACAAAGCATAGCCAAATTCTTTGGAATACAGTCACATATGTGGATGACTTGTAGTTCTTGGCTCCTGCCTTTGACCTGATGCAATCCTGACCGTTGTAGGCATTTAAGTAGACCAGTGGATAGAGGATCTTTCTCTTGCACTCTCAGCCAAATAGGCCTTTTTATAAAGGGTAATACCATGGCCTATACTGTTACTGATACAGCAGCTAAGATTTATTTTTACTGGAAAGTCAGGTTTACAGAGAGAAAAGAAATCCTCCAGTTGCTGGTTCACTCCAAGCAGTCACAACGGCCAGACTGAGCCAAGCTGAAGCCATGAGCCAGGAGCTTCTTCTGGGTTTCTCATACAGTTGCAGGGTCTCAAGGTTTTGGGCCATCCTCAACTGCTTTCCCAGGCCACAAGCAGGGAGCTGGATGGGAAATAGAGCAACCAGGATATGAATCAGCACCTATATGGGTTAGGGTTATGCAAGGTTGAGGACTTAAGCCACTAGGCTACGTTGGCAGGCCCAATGCAATAGCATTTTAAATTATCTCGACATGCTCCTCTGTTTTCATGTCACATTACCTCATTTAACATTTTTGTTCTCTTGCTCTTGTCCTTTAAAGTCCAATCCAACTGCCACCTCTCCCAAGATCATTTCCCAGGTTTTATTGAATTCCTTGGTGCTTACTTTTCTAACCTTTTTTTCTCATCAGTTGTGATCATAACTATTTCTTAGAGTACGCCTGCATGATCTTCTCTATATCCATCACAGCTTCTTCCATACACCCTAGTGCTCCCAGAGCTCAGCCACTGAGTTGTTTTCACAATTTGCACATGTTTTCTCTACCGGTTTGATAAGTTTACTTGATTTTACTTTAAAAATATGCTGCACACTGAATGGAACCACAGTCAAACATGTGGTGGAACACAATGATACCTGATCAGGACCAAGGAGGTGCACTGAGTTAACAGGGAAGGACATTCGAGTAGGACAAAAGGCAAATCCTGAAGTGATTAGTCCAGGGTCCATCTTCAAGAATGCAATGTAAGAAAAATTTTCTATGGAGACCATGACAACGGGAAGACCTCTAAGTGGGCCAAATCTCCCGTACTCATCTTAGTCATGTGGTCATATAAGTTTCTGTCCAACTCATGAAGTCAGGCACCATCTTGAAAAGAGACAAAACGTACAGAAAATTTGGAAGGTTGTGTTTACCTGAAAAATGTTGCTACAGAAATTTAACTGTGGGCACCTCTCTAATGGGTCGCAGCTCCCACTAGTGAGCATGAGAACCAGAACTGCAGATGGACCTGACTGGAGAGGCGGTATCATCCACTAGTGTAAGTGGAGGCTGGATAATGGAGTTGGTTGCATTGAACTAGGCTGTAGCACCCACTGATGTACACAAAAACCAAATGGGATGCAGGACAGAATGGACCAGTCATATGCAGGAACCAGGGTTGGGAATGGACTTGGTGGGGTTATTGGAGTTTGCTCAAACTGGACTGCAGTTCCTGCTGGTGTACGTGAGGGCTGAGCTAGTGGTGGATAAAGTTGGACTGGTGTAAGATGTGGGTTAGAGACAGAACTGACCCAGTGACTGTAACCAGTGTGTAGGCTGTGGGTGACAGACTAAGCCAGACTCTGTACCCACTAGCACAAACAGTAGTCAGGTCTGAGGTCACCTTCAACAAGGTTTGAGTAACACCCCTTTGCCCCAGGTAAACCACTGAATTCAGCACTCCTCCCATAGGGAGAATCACAGATCTGTGGTCTGACTGGAGTGAATGTGTTAGAACTGGGCCTCCTCAGTTGCCAAGATTGTGCAGTGTACAGCATGCCCAGATGCACATGGGGGATATGATAGCGCATTGGGGCCTACAGAGAACATCTAGTATCACAGCAGAGGATGGCAGGCAGAACAAATTGGATAACTCTCCCAGCCAAGCGTTGACAGCAAGTACCTGGGCATATGAGACTAAGGTGGACTATGTCAGTCAATGGACCTTGGAAGGATTTCCTCATCCTTGGAGCAAAAAAATCAACAGCATTTCAGAACTATCAAAACCACCTGAGCAGAACCCTTAGAGAATGCTTCACATCAGGAACCCTGGGATAACATCGGGTAGCCATTTCCCATCCCTGGGTACAGATGTGGTTAGGATGCTGGGTGTGGCATCTCCCCATTGTCTATCCCCTTCTAGATACAGGAAAAGGAAAATTGGAAACAATGGTTCCATCCACTTTCCCCTGTTCCTCGACCCTTCCCACCCTAATCAGTGGTTCACATGGGCATCATCCTTCAACTAAAGCAAAAATAAAATTTTTTCAGAATTTAACAAAATTGTTTAAATTCCTGAAATAGGACTGAATTTACTAGACTGAATTAAATGTAATCAACCATTAACCCATAGAGTGAGGCATCCTCTTTGTTAGGGAAATTAAGAGCTCTGATGACAACAAACTTCAGTCTTTAAGGAAATCAGAATAGAAAGAATAGTTGGAAATTGCTTCCTAATTATGTCCTCTTGCATAATTTGTCTTGGTATCACCTCTGATTTTCTCATAGTCCCTAGTATACGATAATGTCTCAAAAAGGTCACGGGAGATAATATTTGAGCAAATTTTTAAAAACATGCATGATCTTTTCATAAGATTTCATGATCATTGAGAACACTTCAAATGCATGGGTTTTGAAAAATTCTACGAACTGATTTCCTAATCCTATTTTACTATGAATTTAAAAAAAAAAAGCATTTGTATTAGAAAGATACGGTTAGAGAGGAGAGATAGGCAGGTCCTCCATCACTGGTTCACTCCCCAAATAGCTGTAACAAAAAGAGCTGAGCCAATGTGAAGCCATGAGACTCCTCTGTCTCCTCTGTCTCCTATGTTGGTGCAGGTTATCAAGGTC